TGCTTCCAGATGTGTCCTGCCATCGATGCGGTCCTGGTGTATGTGAACAGGAAGTGGACCAACCTCAGTGGTGAGTGTAGCCCTGCTCAATGTGTATAAGAGACAGGTCCTGGTGTATGTGAACAGGAAGTGGACCAACCTCAGTGGTGAGTGTAGCCCTGCTCACACCTTGCCCCTACCTGGGGACATCAGGATAGATGGCTTTGATGTCCCATTCCCCATCCGAGTGCCTGCTTCCAGCCCAGCCTTGGGACTAGAGGAGGCTTGAGGTCATGATGTTTAACCCCCCACTGTCCCAATGGGAAGCCTGAAGTCCTCAGGGAATCTGGGTTCCTTTTCTCTCATCTCCCTATCCAATATTGCATCCCAAGCTCCACAAGACTCCAGAGACAGCAGCCCTTCTCTGCTCATCCACAAGCCTCATGCCTATATAGTAATCCCGCTGGTGGTAATGCCTGAATCACCTTTGCTGAGGGGATATACTGCCTCCATCATTTTGGGGTCCCAATGTGGGGGAGAGGAAACCTCCGTGACTGGGACTGAAGAAAACTCATTCATGTCCCCAGCAGTGTGGACTGGGAAAAGTCACTTCACTCTTCTCAGCCTCAGTTTGCTCAGCTGTGAAATAGAGCTGAAAATCCTGACCATGCCAGTCTGTTGCAAGGTCCAAGCAGTGACGGCCCTTGGTGAACTCTCAAGCTCTGTGCTGGCTGAGTGATGTGATTTTCCAGGCCAGGCACCATGGCCTCCATTCTACAGATGAAGTTACAGAGGCCCAGAGGTGCTAAGCAATTTGCCTTGAGTCACATGGAGGGACAGGCGTAGGTAGCCGCTGGCTGGTGCCAGCTTCTCTGGGCTGTTCCTGGGGTTGGTGCCTCTTTTAGTGGAACCTCCTTTTCACACAGACCCCATGCCCGTGGGCCAGATGGGCACCATCAAATATGTCCTGACGTCCACACCGGCCACCACAGCCAGCTACATCCAACTGGACTTCAGTGTAAGCGACAGGGGCCACCTGGGGTCTCAGGCTCACTGGTCTGGGTAGTGGGTGCTGCTTCTGCCAGGACAGGTGGCTGGACTAGGGCTGTGGAGGGAGGGAGGCTCCTCAAGCCCTGGAGGTCAATGCCATGAGTGTGTTTGTGGGCCCTGGGCCTCTCCCTCTTTCTGCTCTACATGTGAACCTTCAGTGCCCCAGCTGGCTTCTGAGCCTGCTGACTTCACACTCATGTTGCCCGCTAGGCTGTTTGCTTTTCCTAGTGAGTGGCTCACCCAGTTGTACCCTGCCATTGTACAGATGGGAACACTGAGGCCTAGCAGGAGGGTAGGACTGGGCTAGGGTTCTGCAGCGAGTTGGTGTCAGAATTGGGCCCTCACCCAGATCTCCAGAGCTCCAGGTGAAGGGGTGAGATGCATCTTCCAGGAATGCGAAGTAAAATGCTAAGACATCACCTCCCTGTGAAGTCTTCCTCCAGCAGGGTTCTTACATGCTCCGTGTCCATTTCCGCCTGCCTCTTTCTTTTGAAAACAAGGCAGAAATCATGTTCTGAATAAATGAAGGCCCCAACCACTCAGAGCAACTGAGGCTACCAAAGCAGTGCTAGGAGAAAGTGCCAGTGGTTTAGTGACGGACTCCCTTATCCTCCCAGGCCTCAGTCTACCCACCTGTACACTGGGAGGGTTGGCCCACTGTAGCCTGTTGTGGTTCTATTAAAAACATTTATTGATTTGCTGACTTTGGGTTTGGCTGGAGCCCCATTTTCTCAGAGGACTGAGACACTCCTGGCCACCGTCCCTCTTGGCCAAGGCTGAGTGTCTCTCTCCCGCTGCCCCACAGCCTGTGGTGCAGCAGCAAAACGGCAAACCCATCAAGCTTGCTGATGCCGGGGAGGCCCTCGTGTTCCCCAAGGGTCATGCTGAAGGTTCGTCGCAGCTGCTGCTCCCAGACACCCTCCTTTCCGCAGAGCTTGCCCTTCTGCAGAAGTCCTTTCATGTGAACGTCCAGGATACGATGGTGAGCTGTCCAGTTCCCCATCCCATCTGCCTCTGTCCATTACAATGCAGTCCCTGCCTAGTTTTTCTATTATGAAAATTATCCTGGCCTTGTGGGCAACACTAGGACTGGAAGATGCAGGACTGATTTGAGTTTCTCTCAGCAGTTCATCTCACTACCCACCATCCCTCTGTCCATATAACTACCATCTACCCATCTGTATATCCATCTGTCTGTACAGCCAACCGTTTATCAACCTGCATCTCTAATATCTTGGCCATCCATCCACCAGTATCAAAGTCTGATACTGTTGAATGAATGAATGTATGTACCTGCCTTTTACCACCCAGACACCACTACATCCACCCAACTTTACCTTATCCATCCTCCTACTCATCCACTCATTCAGCCATCCATCTATCCAACCATCCACCCACCTGTCCATTCTTTCCCCACTGATCTATCCATTCATCTTCCCAACCATCTGTTTACCATTCATCCATGTACCTTCTCATCCATCCTCCCACCCATCAGTCCATTCATCTATTTTCTCATCCATTTATCATTCTACTCCACCATCTTCCCATCCACCTATCCTCCTATCCACCATTCCTTTCATTCATCCACCACCCATCTTTCCATCCACACATCATCCATCCATGTATTCTTCCCTAGATTTCCACCTACCCATCCATCCATTCATCATCCTCCCACCCATTTACCCACTTATCTGTTTATCCATTTCCCCATTCATCTGTCTATTCATCTCCAAATAGATCTACCCATCCCCTTTACCCATCACATCTACCACTCTCCCATCTATCTTCCTGCATTTTCATTCAACAACATTTTCTCAGCATTTGACCTTGTGCTAAGAGTTATGAGCACTTAAATGTGTAGGTCATCACTTGGGCTACCCAGAAAGCACAATATTTAGTTAAACCCAGAGTGGTAAGTATTGTGATGAAGGGAGCCTCAAAGGGTACACCTTATTACGTCAGTGGAGATGTTTGTTAGGATGGGCCAGGGAGGACTCCAGCAACCCTAACCTTGACTTTTATTTTGTAGATTGGTGAGCTGCCCCCACAAACCACCGAGACACTGGCTGGCTTCATTCCTGAAGTGAGTGCCCCACCTCCCCATCACCACTGCACCCTGTCCTGCCCTATTGTCCTCCAGTCTGTCCTCCAGTGGGACTTGGGAGACAGCTTCTCACGCCACTTGTTCCTTGTCCAACGTTTAAACATCTTTTCTTCTTCATAAAGTACTTTTTGAGTCCAACGTAGAAAACAGCTCTACTTTTGTGCATTGTACTTTCTATGTCCATTAGAGAATAGCCAGATTGTGTATTTTGTTTCTTTTATTTCCTGATAGACACATCCTGGCCTTTGCATGTTGTACTTCCTGTGTCCAAGGTAGAAATTACCTATGTCTTGAGGGAGCCCTTATTTCAACTGAAGCCACCAGTCTAAGGACTGGCCCTGAGTGAAGTGTTCTGGCTTCTGTAGGTGTCTGTAGCTTATCCCAAGTCAACGCCCTTGACAACCCAGATCAAGATAAAGAAGCCTCCCAAGGTCACAATGAAGACAGGCAAGAGCCTGCTACACTTCCACGGCACCCTGGAGATGTTCGCAGCTTGGCAGAGGGGCAAGGCTCCAATGTCCCTCTTTCTCCTAGAAGTGGTGAGGGAAATCATTCCCTTCCCTGTTTATTCCCAACCGCTTGGATATTCAAGGCTGGAGGATGGGATTTTTAGTTGATAGCCAAGTCATGGATCAGAGGGTTCTCAGTTAATTTTGATTATGTCTGATCCTTGACTCTGCCATTGAACCTTTGAATGGCTGGAAAGCCCAGCAAATGGAGGGTCAGTGGCTTAGTCCTTCCTTTCTCTTTCCTCCCTGCAACATTCTTCAGCAACTACAAAGGCAGTGAAGGGTGCACTGAAGGGACTATGGGTGCCTAGGGAGATCCCAAATCCAATTTGGGGAAATCACAAAGGGCTTCCAAGAGGAGGTGATAGCTGAGCTATGTTTTGAAGGTTGAGTAGGAGCTTGCCAGAGAAGGGTTGGGGACAAAGAGTCTTACCAGGGAAACTGGGGACAGAGGACACCCCAGGCAGAGTTTCCAGCATGTACAAAGACCCGGATCAATAGTATGATGTGTGCAGGGACCTACTGATGGTGCCAGGTATTTTGGGGGGTGCTGCCCTGGCTCAGGACAAGGAGGGATGAGAAGCCTGGGCTGGGGCTATGGGGAGATGGCTGGGTTCAGTTCCTGAGGACGGACAGAGAGAAGATCCCCTGCTTTGTCTTGGCAGTTGTGGTGGTGCTGGGAGGGTGATCATCTCTGGCTTTGCCAGCCCTGATGGTGGGGAACACACTGCCTTTTCCCTGCTTCCTCCCCACCATGTCAGCACTTCAATCTGAAAGTCCAGTACTCAGTGCGTGAGAACCGGCTGCAGATGGCCACCTCTTTGGACAGGTAGGACCCTGCTGCCCCATGCTGGCATCCCTGTTACCTTCACATTTGGCCTTCTGCTCCAGCACACCCCACACTACCGGGATGATCCACCCAGCACACCCCCAACTATGAGGCTGCTCTAGTTACTCTTCCTGCTCTAGAACCCTCAATGGCTCCCCATTGTCTGCATAATCTTTTCCCAAATCTTAGCCTGGTACTCAAGGCCCTTCTCAAGTTCTTTCACCTCTACCCTCACTCTTCCCCTAGGCTCTTTTACAGTGAATCTGGTCATCACGCCCCCTTTTCCATGAATAAACCTTTACCCATGCCATTCCAATGTCACCTGAGAGTCAGGGTCCAGCTCAAATGCCACCTCCTCCACAAAGCCTTTCTTTATACTAATAGCAGCTAACAGTTATTTACGGAGCTCTCTCTACATGTGAGGCACTGGCTGCATACATTATATTCATTATCCTATTTTATTCTTATGCTTTGGGAGGAGGGTACTACAAACATCTTAGCTTAACATTCAGTCCCTATTAATTCTTGTACTTGCCTTAATAATGAAGCACCTCAGGATTCATTCTGTCGGGATTCTCTCAGTTGCAAGAGAGAGAATTCCAACTTTAACTGGCTTAAGCCCCAAAGGGAATCCCTTGCTCATATAATTGAAAACTTTAGGGGTAGTTCTTTCTTTTTTCTTTTTTTCTTTTGAGACGGAGTCTCGCTGTGTCGTCCAGGCTGGAGTGCAGTGGTGCAGTCTCGGCTCACTGCAAGCTCCACCTCCTGGTTCACGCCATTCTCCTGCCTCAGCCTCCAGAGTAGCTGGGACTACAAGCGTC